CAAGAGACACCAGGTATTTCCCTGCCACTCGCGGTAAGCCTGGACCTCAAAACCTTAAAGCCCCCAACATACCCGCTATAAAGTTCTCTACAGCCCTGAAGCCCCAGACCCCAACCACCCCTGAACCCCAGAGGCCGAGCCCCAGATTCGAGCAAAAGGGCCAGAGTTGATCTTGCACACTTGCAGAGCATCCGCCCATACGTGAATCGCCCCAGGAAACCACCTTCAGCTGCCATCCCGGAGCGGATGGTACCTACTTCTCTGCTCTTATGAAAAAAGCTGAAAAATTAGAGTGTTTCGTAGCTCAAGGTAGTGTTTACGAGTGTGGGTCCGGCTTCTGGAGATTAATTTTTATAATATATGATACATATACACATATATCTGCACGTAAGAGTTTTGCAAGGGGTTTCGGATTTGAAGGGTGCAGAGGGTGGATAAAACAAACAGTGATGCATGATGCAGTTAATATTATGGGATCCTTAAGGGAGGGTTATTGGGTTATATACCCCTCTTCGAACCCCCTCCCTTAAGGATTCCATAATAATAACAACCAGTCAACTCCCAAGTTCAACTTGTCTTCCCCGCCCCTGTTTCGTTCTCGCAATGCTGTTCACGTGCATTTAAGGGGGTCACCACCACGATGCCGGCCTTTTTCAAGCCATGTCAGCCCAAAGCCCAGCACCCCACAACCCTAAACCCCATGATCCTAAACCCTAAAATCCTACACCCCATAATCCTAAACCTAAAATCCTAAACCCGATAATCCGAAACCCTGAAATCCTACACCCCATTATCCGAAACCCCATAATCCCAAACACCCAAGCTTCCCAAAGGCCAAACATGACCAAAGAGACAAGGTACAGTGCCATCCGCCCGGAGGGCTGCGAAGGCAGAGCTGGTGCCGCAAAGCCTGGCTAATTGGGACTTGGGCCAGGGTTTTGGGCCTTTAGGGTTTGCGGGTTTAGGGCTTTTAGGGTTTAGGGTTTTACGGTTTAGGGTTTAGGGTTCGGGTTTTTCCGGGCTCCTGTCAAGGAAAGAAGGTCTCAGGTACCCATAGCTTACCATAGCTTTCTTCTTATGCAAACTTAAGTTGAATTCCTGAACAAGAACCCATGATAGGAGCTTTAGGGTCGTTAAGGGCTTCGGGTTGAGGGGTCAAGGGCTAGGACTTAGGCTTTAGGGTCCCGGGGTTCAGGGTTTGCGGCCGTTCATGATAGTTGTACTATACAGTGAAGTACGACTGTATTATCAGCAGTTGGCTTGAATAGTTTGTATGTTCATAACCAATAATTACTACGGCTTCTGGTTATTGTCGGAATGCTCAGACTGCTGCACCTTGGGCATGGCTTGTCAATTTAAGCACAACGCTGGGTGCTGTGTACCCCGGCACTGCTGCGACTACTTGGACTACTCAATGACGGTAGTGATGGAATTCTGCCAAGAACTCTGCTAAGGCCACTACAAGAGGGACAAGTAAACCTACCAACGCCCGGATAATCCAGAATGGCACCGGAAGAAATGCCCACTGAGCGCTTCCAGTACTGGTACTTGCACAAAAGGATTGATGTTGAAATGTTCCTGCACGATTGCGACTAAACTTGAAACGGCACACAGACATACACAGAGCCTACAAAGCATTACAACGCTTTACATTTGACATCAAACTGGTACACTAATCGAACTGCGAGGCCTGAACCTGAGTTCTGAAGTCTTGTGTTTCCAGCCAAGGGGCGACTGGACATTCTGCAGCTGATCTTGGACATGGCCTTGCATCGCGTTCGGAATGTCATGTTAGGGCTGCCCTTGATGTACTGTGCGGGCTGCGTTCGGAAATGAGGTCTCAACTGGGCTCGTTGTTGTGGTGCTCAGTCTGATGGGCTTTCAGGGTGCAATAGGAAAGGCACTAACCCCGTGCTCCGGTCTTCAGCTTCATGCGCTCAATGGTCTCATGAGCTTAAGCACCAAGCCCAGAACGGGCGTGTGTCCTTTGCGTCTTAGGTGCTAATGTCCAGGCCACGTCCCCACGTCACAACAGTACCTGCGGGAGTTGTCTTTGCTTCTGTGGGCTCAAACCCACTACGAATTTAGGGTCGTCTCTAAATTAGGATACCTTCTAGGTTCCTCTTTATAAGTAGGGTGCCCACTATTTTGGGGACCTAAGAAGGGACCCCAATTTAGAGAACTACCCATTTAGGGTTTGTGGCCTGGGCTCTAAGAGTTCCGGAGCCTCAGTGGTGAGAATTCAGACCCCAAATCCCTCCAGAACCGCAACATACATGGAAGTGAGACTGAAGCTGACGGACCTCCGGCTAAAACTCGCATCCGACAAACTCCGGTGTAGGGTCTCGCAATCTGTTATTTGGGCGGTTCGGGGTTAGGGTTTGGATCTGGTGCTTAAGGGTGTGTTCGGTCACAGAAGCGAAGTTGTCAGGGTTCTCAGAATCGTAGTAGCAAGACCAACTAGTGCACCTGTAACCCCAGCCGCTATGATGGGAGGAAAAGTTACGAACAAACTGAGAATAGTATAATTATATAACATACGTGCAACTGCAGCAGTAGCAACTGCAGCTCAGCACTACTGGCATCTGCGGGACCTCGCAGTCGTGGCAACGCAACTCAAAGGATTACTGTCACCTTTGTTCCTCGTATGTGTTAGTCAGTTGGTCTATTGACCTGTCTTGGTGTACGCGTGTGTTTGTGTCATGCAAGCTTAGAGCTGCAATGGGCGTATGGGGACTCGTGGCAGCAATGAACACGAAGAGAACATAAAGGTAGCAGGCGGTGCTACAACAAAGTAACAACATTGAGCACAAGAATGGCAGTACAGATGCTGGTCTTTGCATCAGGCCTCCCACGCGCTGCTGCAGGATGGTCAGGATGGGTGTTGAACCCAAACCCCAAGCCCTGATTAAAGAGAAACCCCAAGCCCCGACCATGAAGTTGGGAATGATCGCCACATTGAGACACGGCCCAGCATATCCCAAGCACTAAGACCACCCTGCACTGGAGGGCACCGTCAGCTCTGCGCAGTGCAAAGGTATGGGCAGTTGCACACAGCTCCTGGCATAAATGGGACGGACAAGTTCAAAGTCGATGATCTAGGATCTAGGATGCATCCAAAGATGACGGAGCTTGTCGTGATTTGAGGGCTGGCTGTCCCTATTGTTATACATGGGTAAGTAAGTTTGTATGTATGTATGCATGCATGCATGCATGGATGTATGTATGTATGCGTATGCATGCGCAACTGTGTATATGAAGGCGCATGCTGTCTCTGCGCATCTGGGTATGGATGGGCGTTTGTTTGTCGTCGTTTGGCCATGAATCAAGTAACGAACCTCTGTCTGGTTCCGCTGGCACTTGGGCTCAGGAGCTAGAGTTTTTGGTTTACATGCAGCACGCGGTGGTAGCTGGCCGCTCGGGTTGGGACAAGGCTGTGTAGAGCTGAGCGCGGACTGACGCTTCCTGGATAGATCTCATGTCTGCGGTACACAGGAGCTTCAAAGTGCGCAATGTAATGACCGAGACTGTCACCGTTTTGGGTTGAATGACCCGACGTGCAGAGAGCTCAGAAGAAACTGTCAGGATGGGTTTTGCGCAGATACATTCGTGTGACTTCGTGGGTTGAATCACAAGGTTGATGGATTTGAGTGCACATGTTGTGTCGGCTAGGTTGCAGAACCATGCGCTCCTGGGCATCTCGAACCTCCGCAACTTCTGGCGGAATATTCCCGCCGTATCCGGCCTCGGTGTGATTAGTGTGGAGTTGTGGCCTAGTATCGGGCACCTTGGCTGGAGGGTTTAGGGATGTTTAGGGTTTCAGGCTCAGGGAACTTCTTACAGAGTATTACTAATCTTTGCTTTGTTTCCGTCAGCTTCCAAATCTGAGAGCTTGCGGACAGAAAACAAATCCCCAGCTGACCACAGCACCATCGGCTCGGCGGGCTGCAAAAGCATTGGCGGTACCACCTAGCACCAGGGGTTTAGTTTCGGGGCATGTAGCGCAACTTTCAGCTTGCTTACAGTTTGTGTGTTTGTGTGCTTATATGTGCATGTATGTCATTCCGTTCGTCCGTTCGTCCGTCCGTCCTTATGTGTGGATGCGCATGTGTACATACGCATGCATAGCATATTTAGGGATGTATGCGTGTGGATGTATGCGTGTATGTACGTATGTACATATGTGTGTATGTATGTACTTATGGATGCATTCATCTCTCCCTCTCTCGCTATATCTGTGCCTATCTAACTCTATCTGTCTATGTATCTATCTATCTATCTATCTATTCTCTCTCCCTCTCCCTCTCTCGCTCTCTCTCTGTCTCTCTCTCTCTCTCTCTCTCTCTCTCTCTCGCTCTCTCTCTCTCTCTGTGTCTCTATCTGTACCTACCTGCCTACCTACCTGCTACCTGCCGACCTACCCAGCTAGCCAGCTGTCTGCGCGTGCGTGTGGGTATGTATGCATGTACGTTTGTACCTAGGTATGTAGCGAGGTACGTACGTGTGCAACTAAATAAGTATGTACGTAGGTACGTGCAGTCCTTGTCTTACTGTATCTTTCTATCTATCCAAGTCTACCCATGCATCTATCTGAGTCTTTCTCATTCATTCTATCGATCGAGCCATGCACGTATGTATGTATGTACGTATGTGCGTACGTATGTATGTATGTATGTATGTACGTATGTATGTGTGTATGTATGTACGGCATGCCTCCATGCATGCATGCATGCATGCATGGATGCATGCATGGATGTATGTATGCACGTATGCATGTATGCATGCGTCTCTATATATCTCTATATATTTCTATATACTAAACTGATCTATCTATCTATTTATCTATCTGTATACATATATATATATATAAAAATATATATATATATACACACACTGAAAACAACATATGGTTAGCGTGCCATGCAAGACATGCACATCTGCTCGCTGGCTTACCATTGACTTTCTCACCCCCTGTGTCCTTCACTTGCCGACAAAGAGTCAGACTTCGACAATCTCCCGCAGCTGGAACCGCACGCTCGTGCTATTCGCCCCGCATTGGGGGCGGCCCCAAGTCACCTCGGCGGCATCGAAGCAAACAGGCCGATGGAGAGCCGGCCTATCTCATGACAAAGGAGATCTATGCCCTTACGGTAACAAGTCTTGCGTGCCACCTGGGAACCACAGAGCCGTCACGGCAGACGGCCGCAAAGGCTCCAGATGTTGCCACGATCTTTTCCACGTGCACAAGCCGTTCCTCCACGTGAAAGTACGAAGCAACCCAAAACAAAAGGCAAACACCACTTGTTCGGGGGAACTCCTGCTCGTGTTGTCTCCCTATCCTCTAAACTCCAGGAAGGGACGCGACAGAGTGCACTCAAGATAGGTTGCGATTGTCCCTCTTCGCTGCACAAATGCGTCAGCTTGGACGTTTTGGATACTCACCATCTACAGTTCCCGACCCTCTATTTTCCGGATCTCCAAATCTCTACCTTTCCAAATTTCCAGCCCTTGTGCTTGCACATGTTCATCCTCAACTTTCTTGCAGCTGGCGCCGTGGTCCCGGCTACCAAAGGACGTCACTCCTGAGCTCAAGCCGAAGCTCTCGATTTCGGGGTTTAGGGTTTAGGGCTTAGGGTCTAAGGTTTAGGGTTTAGGGGTTTTTGGGCCTCTTGAGAGGCTCCGAGAGTGAGAGGCTTCGGGAGATGGGGGTTTGAGGAGGGCTCAGGATTCTTGGGGGTATTGCTGCATTGATCATCATGCTGCCGCGTTTCTTGCTGCTGTGTGTCCCTTACCCTCGTCATCAGATGTTGTGATCAACAATGCTCATACTCTCCGAGCCAGTTTCCAAACATTCCTGAGCCCTAAGCCCTAAACCCCATAAGGTTTCATTCAGGCGGTCCTCTTTGAATGAGCCAAACCGTCTTTCGGCATCCAATTCGAGACTCAAGACTCCGCAAAACCAATGCCAAGAACTCTGCAACCCCATGGGCCTGCAAACCTTAAATTCTCACGCCCGCAAGCGCTTTAGCCTCAAACCAAGAACAGCGCCAACTAATGTAGGGGCTTTAGTAGCTCGAATAGGGTTTGGGGTCCCAATGATATAGTAATATAAAAAAACTGTTTCTCATTTTTCTATTTCATTCTAGAATTTTCAATACCCCTATCAAGCCCCTATGTGAACCCGCTACGTGTGTGTATACATATATACATATATGTAAGTGTATGTATCTATATATATATATGTATATATCTATACACACATACACGTGTATGCTTGTCACCTTAACTAAGTATTCTGAAGCCTATAATATACCTGCAAGCGACTGGGTCTCGCCACCCAAACACATCAAACAAGGGTTTTCGGAATTTAGAATGACCGCTCTCGGGCTTCGGGTGCAAGACTTTGTAGTTTCGGTTTCGGGTTTGGAAGTTTCGGGTTCAGGGCCTAGGAACCGTCCCAGTTGCGGCCATCTGCATGAACGACGGCGACGGCACGGCTGGTGCTAGCGACCTGCCGCACATCCTGCGAGGGCACTTCTGAGACTATTTGCGGTTTAGGGTGGGGGTTGCAAGATACAGGGGAGCTTACAGCCTTACAGTAATATGGACCCATACAGTAGTAACGAGTAGTAAATCTCAGAAGCTACAGTAGATATACGGGAGTTTCATTCAAGCAAGGGATTCCAATCTGGATCCCCAAACTAGCACCATTACAAGACCCCCGCGCAAGTTCTAAAAGTCTCGATACTGAAAACTACACCCTCAACTACAGATCCATGCCCTGCGCTGTAACACACTTTCTCAGTTCTGAAGAGGTGCGCCTGCAGCGGAGGCTGATAGCCTCTGCCGCGATTTCGACCCCGGTGGGTGCCCCACCAAGTCCTTCCGTTTCAGGCTTTGTTTACTAAAAATCAGCACCTTACTTGCGAGTCCTTGCAAGACAGGCCTTTTCTTTAGCTCTTGTGCTTTTGGCATTGCCAAACGCATTCTCCGAACATGCTCGTAGTAGGGCACCTTAGACAGCCGTAGTTGCACCCACGGTAAATTCTCATCAAGGGTGGACCACTTTGAAAGACCGTAAGATCCTCCTAACGCATGGGCAGACTGGTCCTGAGATTGCCCTCGTCTGTCACGACAACCTCGGTCAGCCGAGACCGGGCTGCGCCCTTGTGAATTTTCTCTTGACTTGTCATAGAAGTTACAAGGTTGGCAGGTATGCTTGTCTCTGATCCCTGTGCTGCACTTGTAGGAGTGCGAACAGCCAGACTCAACAACAACAAAAAGAATAACAAGAACAAGAACAAGAACAATAATCTAAGAACAAGAATCTAAGAACAAGAACAAGAACAAGAATCTAAGAACAAGAACAAGAACAATAACAATAACAAGAACAAGAACAATAACAAGAACAAGAATAACAATAATAACAACAACAATAACAAAAAGAACAAGAACAAGACGAAACAAGAACACTAACAATAACAAGAACAAGAACAAGAACAAGAACAAGAACAAGAACAAGAAAAAACCAACAAAAACAACAACAAACAACAAACAACAAACAACAAACAACAAACAGCAAACAGCAAACAGCAAACAGCAAACAGCAAACAGCACACAACACACAACACACAACAAACAACAAACAACAAACAACGGAGCAACAAACAACAAACAACAAACAACAAAAAAACAACCAACAAACAACAAACAACAAACAGCAAACAACAAACAGCAAACAACAACAAGTAACAAACAACAAAGAACAAACAACAAACAACAGACAACAACCAACAAACAGCAAACAGCAAACAACAAACAACAAACAACTAACAACAGACAACAGCCAACCAACAACCAACAACAAACAACAAACAACAAACAACAAACAACAAACCACACAACAACAAACAACAAACAACAAACAACAAACAACACACAACACACAACAAACAACAAGCAACAAACAACCAACAACAAACAACAAACAACAAGCAACAAAAAACAACCAACAAACAACAAACAGCAAACAACAAACAACAAGCAACAAGCAACAAGCAACAAGCAACAAGCAACAAGCAACAAACAACAACAACAACGACGACGACGACGACGACGACAACAACGACAACGACAACCACAACACGAAGAACAAGACGCACAAGAAGAACAAGAATAACAAGACAAAAACAATAATAAGAACAACAACAACAACAAGAACAATAACAACGAACAAACAAACAAACAAACAAAGTACAACAACAACAACAGCAACAATAACAACAACAACAACTACTACTACTACTACTACGACGACTACAAGTACTACAACAACAACTACGACGACGACAACTATTACTGCCAGACTGCCAGCACCACCACTAGCCCTGACTGACTTGGAAGGATTTGCACAGGGGCTTGTCAATTACCCACTGACCGCTGAACCGCCTTATAGTGTCTAAACCCGACCTCAACCGGCCATGACCTAGCTTTGTCGATCACCTATAAATACGGCGCAAGGCATACACAATGGACCCTACGGCAAAGTCGGCGGTTGTGTGTACAAGGAAACCCTATAGTACCACAATTGGTGCTCGGGAACATTTTGAATATACGAGCAAACCGAACTGCGAAGTAGCCAGGGTGCTAGCACGCGGGAGCAGCGGTTGCAAAGAGGTCCCCCGGCGTCATGGACCAGGCCGTACCTTTGTCACAGTAAGAATAAAGGGGCTGGCCCATGTCTAGTCCGTATACAGACGCGCACATGAACAAACAAACGCAGATGCGAGAATACATATTTACCTGTTCGTTCATTCATTCATCTGTTTACCTATCTATCTGCCTGTCTTCCTGTCTATCTTTCTTGCTTTCCGTCTCCACCTCTCTCTAGAGATACGTATCAAAAACACAACTATCTTGTTACATGTATGTATACTGTACATACACATTCGTATACGCACACACACACACATACATTTCATCATTATACAACACGAGCCAATACACATTAGAGAAGCGGCTCTGATCTTCCAAGCCCCAACCAGCAAACCGAAATTCTGAAACTCGACAACCGGAAAAAACGGGTCGCTAGCTCACCACGCCATGACCCCATACCTTCACGGACGGGTTAGGGTGTAGGGGGCTAGCGGTGTTTCTTGTCGTTTGGTCTCGGCTCTGGGGTTGGAGTCAGAGCTTAGGATTGATGCTTCAGTTTGAACCTTATCGTGCCCTTTGCAACACCAAACCCGAACCCAAAACCCTTACTTAGCATAATGGGCCTTGGTACAGCGTCTCCCCGTCGGCAACTCCCGCTGCAGCTAGAGTTTTTGCTTCGGAGATCGCTTCCTGGGGTTTGGGTTTGGGGGCTTAGGTGTACTGCATTTGGGAACCTGGTTGAAGGTAGCTGTAAGCAGGCTGCAGACGGGTTAATCTCGGCTTTCGGTAAACTGTTCTCCTGATCACTAAACCTGAATCCGACATGTAGCTGTGGCTTGTGTAGCAACACACTCACACCCAGAATAACGAAGGAAGGACAAAGTCCACATCAGACGACACAGAATCATGCAAGCATTAGTCTTAGAACGAGTGCCGCGGTAAAAATTACCGACATAGCGACAAATCGTACCTATGCAGGTGAAACTTTGGATTCTGTAGAAAGACCCAACCCACCGCACCAATCACTGGAACGCAGGAACCTGATCAAGAAACCCCTGTTTCCAAACCATCACAATCCTCGCATCCATACCAAGAACCCTAAGAACGAGAGGGATTCTCGGCCAGGTTCCTACATCAATCTCTAAACCGCACAAAGCCTAAAATCGTGTATCCCAAAACCTCGAAACCTCCGAATTCCAAACCCCTAAACCCCTCGATTCTAAAGTCCAACTGCCAAAACCAATCAGTACTTCTTATTGAAGCGTATCACCTCGTACAGCCCCGCAATGAAACTGCCGGCCGAGGGTCTCCACCGGAAGAGACGACAGCTTTTAGCCCTCGGCAAGCTGAAAGCTGTGTAGGTCGGATGTATTTTTGGTCGGGTTGTTGAGGGCTCGTTGACCACTCGGCGTGCGCCCTAAACCCTAAACTGTGAACCCTAAACCCTAAACCCTGAACCCTGAACCCTAAACCCTGAACCCTAAACCCTAAACCCTGAACCCTTGGCTGGAAGGTTCTTAAGGCTTTTTTTTTGCCGCTCCGAGATTGCGCCTTGAGGCCAAAACTCGTGGACTGAGGGCTCGGGGGTTCGGAGAGTGGGGATTTGCTACGGTTGATGATATTAGGGTTTCGGGGTTTGAGGGTTCTAAAAGGGTACTATAAGGTTCCTTATTAGGGTTTCGGGTTTAGGGTTCTATAAGGGTAGTACGGTTGATGATATAAACCCTGCATTACCCATAATAATAAGGAAGATACCACAATTCCCATAGTTTAGGGTCCTTAAGGTAATGCAGGATTTATATCATCAGCAGTAGTACACCGCAAAGCCACCAAACAGACCGTCAAAAGCCCCTTAACCCTAAATCAGTCAAAACCCCGAAGTCCATCGAAACTCTTAAGGAACATCTGATGTGCAGAACGCCTTACAGTTTGACAGTTGAACCTGGTTTGAGGAAGACTATATGACAGCTACATAAGGCCTCTACATAGAGTATTCTTACTAGGCACTCAGACTCTAGACCCTGAACCCTGATCCCTGAACCCGAACTAACAAGTGAAGGTTACGCCTAATTAGACCCCAAAGCCTAAATCCTAAACCCTAAACCTCATTGAACAGAACTGCTTTGCCGCACAGGCACGGCAGCCAAGCTCTCGCTCCGCTTCACGGCGCAGATCTTGCACCAGGGCCTCGGAAACAGGGCCAACATCTCGCCCTTATAGTGGCCTTACAGTTGCAATATTTCATTTATGGAAGCTGGTAGTAACCTATGTGAGTATCCTTACAGTAACATATCGTAACCTGAACGTGTGCCATGTAAGCGAAACCTTATTGCAGTAAACTATATACTCCCATCCTTAGAGTATTGTAGTAAACTGGAAGTATCCCATGCCAACAGTCATTCGCATCCTTATAATGGAAAACTTAGAGAGCGGGATCATACTATCCTTATCACAACCATATAGTAATCTGAACTGATCCCACATCAGATGTGCATCAGTTCAGGTCACTATGAGGAATATCTTCTTTTGTAACCCTACAGTAGCCTGTATTATAGAAACCTTATATTAACCTTGGCCAACGACTCGTCATGGAGTGATGTATGGGGCCGCAAAGTATAAAGCTGGGGATTGAGGTTTTCGTGATCGGGTCGGGAAGTCGTAGTTGAGGCTTGAGAGTTTAGAGACTTTGGAATTAGAACTGGGGTGCTGGGTGTTGGGGTTTAGGGTTTAAGGTGCCACCTCGGCTTGATATCAGTGACTTGCGGGCCTTTGATTTGCAGCTTAGGAGTGTTAGGGACGGTCAATCTCAAACCCAACCGCTCAAACCCTTGCACTTCTCCGCATGTACTTATGAAATTACGGTAAATCGCCGAACAAGGAATAGCCAGCATGATCATGACTGCTGGAAGTGGAAGCTACAGGAAAAAGGGGCACCTGATAGGGATCCCAATACAGCAGGATCCCAAAAGGCTACTCTGACTAACCCCCACACCTGAAGCATTGTGACTTCGAGCTACAGTCGACGCTCATATGTAGATGACATGATCGTAGCAGCACAACAGGTAGGGCAGTGCTGATGTCATGTCGTCGTACTGAGGGCAACTTAACTCCGGTAGTCGTCTGCACCACATACTGCCAACACTGAGCAATACAACGCCAATGAAGATTGTTCCTGTAAGCGCAATCACGAAACACGTCGCACTCGTAGGCAAGGCAACTACTACCGCGCTTGTGACTACTACCGCACGCGTGACAATTTTTGTAGTGCGGCGAATAACGGTATGCAATTAGTACTTACAGCAAGACAGACTTTGCCTTCTCGTAGAGGAGATTCAGAACACAGCAGACCCGGAACATAGTGCCATAGTAAGACGCAAGACAGGACCCTTCTTAGTACGGGATCCCGTGTTGTCTGAAATGCTTCAGTAGCAAAGGCACCACCCTTGCCAGCAGCTCACGATGCAGCTGGGGTCTACACAAGGGTCTACACAAGTTTGTGTTCACAGCAAGATACAGCGAAAGAGACGAAGAAACAAGAACTACCGCCTTGTGTTGGTTTAGGGCAGAGCACTACCAAAGGATTCCGTGCAAGAAGAAGCGCCTCCGATTCCACATGTAGGGATGCCGTCCGCCCGCTGAGCAAAGCGACATTTATCCACATGGGAGCCGGCACACGCGCAAGTAGTTGAGGGTTTAGGGTTTCAGGGCTTGGGACTTCAGGTTATCGGGTTGGGTATGCGCCTCTTGCTTCTCTTGAGTCCCGTAGCTTACAAGGAGAGCTTTCCCTGCTGCAACGAGCTACTGCAGCAGCTGACTGCTGAGCTGTTTCGTCGTAGTGCCAGGAGACGAGTTGATAACTTTGAGTTCAGCTTGAGCACTCCAAGCACAAGTTCGACTCCTAAACAAGAAATTCCAGAGGCCCAGCGCTGGCCGTGTTCTAACCGTGGACTGGACTTCAGGGACAGGGCTGCCTTCAAAAGCCAGGACATTCGCTTTCGTTTCAGGTCTATGGACGCAACTGACCATGCACATCACCCACAGCCATTGGGGTCGAAGTGAAGTGTACAAACCCATCTGCAAACCGGCACAGAAGCCTTTCAAATCCATGACTTGATCCGTGAGTCCCTAGACTTCCTTGGGCCTGGAGCCAAATGCAAACAGTTGACACTCCTGAATCCACTACACTACACCCACCAACTTCGGAGTTTGGAATATTGAGCCCTTGGTTTCGGATTGTGGGATGGTTGGCTGTTAGGGTTTGAAACTTCGGGCGGCTGAAGGTTCGGTTCCAGGTTTGCAGTTCTACACCTTCAAGTTACGCTGCATTGCCTGAGAGATTCATCCGGCCGGTGTTGGAAGGAAGCAGGTCAGACAGCTACAGGTAGCACTCCTGACCAGTGGATTCTGGCGTCGTTAGATAACAGATAGTTATCGCACCGGCTCAACAGTCAAAACGAGGTGGTGTGGACCTAGCCCTTTTATGATAAGGCTTTAATAAGTTCTTAATAAAGCTCTATAATAAGAGCCCCATGTCAAGATTCCCCCGTCCGGGTTTTCGGAGGAAAAGCCAGTGCCAGTTTGCCTTCAAGTTCACCAGCGACTCCGATCCTGCCCGGCAGCCTCAGCACCCACACGGTTTAGGGTTTAAGGGAGGGTTCTTAAGGGTGCTATACGGGTTTAGGGTTTTGGGCTTTGGGGGTTTAGGATTTAGGGTTGAAGGGGCGTTTAGGGTTTAAGGGTTGAGGGTTTAGGGTTAAGTGACGTCTTCCCAGGCTTCAACTCTTGGTTCTTGATTTCGGACTCGGTTTGAAAGCTTTCATGTTCGAACCGATGCTCATAAAGTTTACCTGCGAAAACCCTACGATGTGTGTAATTCTAATCTACACACTGGCAAGAAGACTTTCACAAAGCCTGTGCAATCGATTATGAAGACTCAAAAACTGTTGTCATTTCTAAACCAGCCCTGATCGTCCGAGCAGCCCAGCAATTTGCGAAGCGACTCCTGTGAGAGCAGGTGGCTGAGAAAGAAGGGTTTAGTTTTAGGGTTTAGGGCGCACTGTTGACTACATGTACAACAGCAACCCTTACTTCGACGACGACTACCACGATTTCGGTGGAGATGTGTGAGACATGTGCTCCACACCGCGACGACTACGAGCACGATAACGACGACTACTGCTATTGATAATGTGAGTGCTGTGGTTGCTATAGGTAGTAAGCTATCATGATGACGGAGCGTAAGATGATGAAAGAAGATGACGATGCTTGCGACCATTCGTCCTGGCCTTATTGTATTGCCTCCAGAGTACTGTATCTGTTGTCGTTGCCGTCGCTGTTGACACGAACATATCGGCTGTCTTTGTTTTGACTACTTTGCCGTTCCCTTTTGCCAGAACCTTGCGTAAGCATGACCATTGGCGTGGTTGCCGTTCGGCTGCTGCTTTTCGTGTATAGTCACTGCTAGTACTACTTCGTCTGTATCAATCTTGCTGAATGGCTGGCTTTCAAGATGATTGCTGACGGTCCTTCCAGCTGGAGTTGAAACTGAGTCCGAGCGTAAAGGGGTTGAATCTGCTTGTGCTAGTGGTGAACAGTTTACGTCTGAGGGCGCAGAGCTTTGCGTCTGGCTCCGCCCAAGCAATGCATAAGGAAAGAAACATTGACATGGATTTCGATGCCACTTCCCTTCCCGGCGCGAAGTACGAAACTAGCAGACACAGGTCCTCGGCATCCCAAGCAGCGCGACGAAGACCATTGCCGCAACGCCACAATGCGCTCATGGCCTTTGAAGGGGGCAGGTGTGAGGTTGAGAGCACGCCGACACATACACTTGTGACGAAAGGTGCGATCGTGGTTCTTCAGTGTTTCATAGCAAACGTATTGTACATGACGATGTGATGGTGCTCATTAAATGCTGTTGTTCACATCAAATGCTTGACAATGTTGTAGGCATTGTAGGGCGGCCCAGGCTACACGCGGGCTGTGGGTTTCGGTTCCAGAATGTATCGATGCAGGTCGTGAAGTGCTTGCAGCTCTCGGTGTCATAGAAGAACAAAGCTTCAGATTTCGATTGAACACGAGTCTGAAGGACGACCCGGATCGCGAGATTCCGTCCGCGACTCGCGCGCACGATCTTCTCTCCGAGTTGTAGATGCACAGCAGCTTCCAAGCACGACACTCCAACTTCAAGTACCGCACTGCTGGCCGGCACTGACGAGACACCAACCACCATAATCGTCATTAGCATTGCCTGCTTTTTTCTTCCATCATTATCTTCGAGTTGATCGCGTCGTCTGGTACCAATGAGACGGCACAGAAGTTAGTAGCTCACTTTGTCTCGATGCAGACCGACCCCACATCCAAGTTAGTAGCTCACTTTGTCTCGATGCAGACCGACCCCACATCCTGAAGCCTAGCATACCTAAATTCTTCAACCACGTCCCTTTCAACAACAGCTTGAACATGACACTTCCCTCAAAACATTTAGGGCTCTGCAAAGTTTCCAAGCTCCGCTGCTTCGTGCAAAACAGATGACTCTAGATGTGGACCCTGCCCGAACACTTTGCCCCAAGTGCTCAGTAAACTTTCAAGGGTCCCGATAGTTCTCATTGGCAGGTAGTTGAGGTCCAAGTGGGCCCGGATTGGCCTTGCTTTGAACCTCACCGCGCAGGCAAATACAGGATCCGTGACCATTAGAATGGGGTTTTGGGGTATATGATCATCTAATTTCAGCTAGGAACTCCAAAGTACATCATCGGGAACACCAGGGAATAATTCAGGCCCCTAGCTAACAACCCGCGCCTGCCAGGAGCGGAGTGGCTCGTCACGAGTGGGCGCCATGCAGTCTTTGCTGGGGGCATTGAAGGATGCCTCTGCGCGTGTACATAAGATGTATATTAATGAATATGTATATATATATATACACACGCATATATATATATATATTATGTTATATTATATATATACATACATACATACATACATACATACATACATACATACGTACATACATACACATATACTTAACAGAATGTGCGTAAACATGTAGTGGCATATATACCGAGAGGCAGAAAGGAATGTAGAAAAATGCATGGCATAGATATTGAAGCGGGTGATGCTGACGGTGACAGTGGCGATGCTGGTGGTGAAAATCGCGCTGCCGCTGCTACAACATGCCCATGCTTCTGTGGTGTGCAGAGCTTAGCAGGTGAGGAATGCACCGGGATCTTGAACCGACTCACTATAGGGCTTTGCTTGAGGCCTGTGAGTTTATAGGTGACTCCCTGCACTGGATGCTGAACACTTAGGGTCTGCCACGTGTTTCCAGTTTATACCGTGCGCTTCTGGCCTTTCTCCTTGGGTCTGTAATCTTGCGTGCTACATTGCTGACCAGAAGCATAGCAAGAAGCAATGCTCCTGCCAATGAAACGGTCTGGCTTCAACGATTCTCGTGCATACTTCGGCTGCCAGCAGTAGGGGACGAATGACGCTCAAACTGAACGTAATCAGCTCTCATGCAAGTCTTTGCAAGGCATGTGGAAGCCCGAGTATCGGGCTCCGAACCCTGAACCCTCAACCCTGAACCCCTAAGCCTTGAACCCCTAAACCCTGGATTTACGTTAATTGCAGGGTTTTCGGGCCTTAGGGTATCTGCAGGTCTCAGAGGACAGGGTTGAGGGTTTCGGGTTTAGGAGTAGGGCTTGACTTGAGTCTCAAGCTGTATTTTAAATTGGAAGCATCAATGTCGCAGAGAGGATCACAAAAAGCAAGCCCAGCCTACACCCTGAACTCTAATCCCAAGGGTTTCAGGGTTTAGGGTTTTAGGGTTCAAGGTTTTATTGGGAGCCAACTTAGGAACTTCAAGACCGTGCGACCACCAAAGCGCGGAGCGCAGCGCGGTTGAAAAGGGCGCCGAAGGCCGCAGCCCTGGAATTCACCGTTGGCGATACACATTTGGGGCTTGTGCGGTTTGAGGGTGTCTTGATGACATTACCGATCCGACTTTAGGGACCCTTATATACTGAAAACCTGGGAAAGGAAACCACTACGTCTGGGGCTGCTAAGCGGGCAGGAGAAACCACTCTCCAACCTAAACCCCTCCGCTAAAACCTTCAAAACGCAAAACCCTAAAAAGCTTCTGGGGCTTTTCTACAAAGCAAAGCTGCAGAGAGGGGCCTTAATAATTAGAATAGGGTTTTGGGCTCCTGTATAGATCAGTTATAATAGTAAGGAACCCTATGGAATAATATTGGTAATCATTTAGGCTTCTATAGTAGCCCTCTTAGAGCCCTTGCGGAATCTCATGACTCATGGCCGAAGGCAGCCGGATCCCGGCTGCTTCCTGATCGAAGCCTGGGTTGACAAGAAGCTAACACCAAACACAATTCTGATGCAATCCTTGCGTAAGGATGAACACTCAAACGGATAAGTAACCTATACACATACATATACACATACATATACACATACGTGTGTATATCTATACACATATACACAGTCTCACATATACACACAGAAAACCTCGCAGTGCAGGCATGATGGCATACTTAGATTTACATGTATTATCATGAGTTTCACTTGTCTTGCTACCTACTTGACTCCAAATCCGCCTGTTCCTGTCGGAGAGCAGGAGGGGCTCGGCCTGGCATTCTCAGACGGTTTAGGTTGGTTTAGAGTTTAGGGTTTAGGGTGTAAGGTTCAGGGTTTAGAGTGTCGGGTTTAGGGTTTGGGGCCTCCAGAAGAAGAGAAAGGATTGTAGTTTTGGGCCCCTTCAACGCATTTATGAATATAAACCCTAAACCCTAAACCCTAAATAGGTACCTCTCTAGGAGCCATGGCGGAAATTGCAAAGCTTCCCAAAGTGCCACCTACGGCAATAGTCAGGATAGCCTTCAGGGTGTTGGCATTTTGGGATTTAGGGTTTAGGGTTTTGGCATTTTGGGGTCCAAGATTAGGATGGAGCTGAAGTGCGGGCTGAGATGGGAATTCACCGGCTTCTGTCGCTGCAGGGAACCAGCATCAAACCCCATGAACCCACTCTAAGCTACCCGAAGCCAGCCCAAAACCCTAAACCCTAAACCCAGCCCGAAACCCTAAGCCCTAAACACCCTAAGCCAGCCCGAAACCGTAAGCCCAAAAACACCTACATTCTGCATATCCGGCCTCTACCTCGGAACCCGAGAATTGCCCCACTAAGAGGCGGAAGTTCTCCTGGGCACCCGGGTCGTTATTATTACTACTTTTATTATTGTTATTATTGTTACTACTATTACTATTGTTATTATTGTTATTTTGGGTTTTAGGGCCATGGCCGGAGCCCAGAACTTGGCTTTTGATTGAGGAATTTTTCTTGCAGGCTATGGGTGTGATGTGGGTTTTGGCAGTCATCTTCGGGCTACGTCGATTGTGTTCTGAAATTACTCAGGCAGGAGGAATGGGGGCGTGGGATGGCTTGGGGGCTACTTGGTCCTACAGCTCTTTTCAGTAACTATGCTGCTGTACAGGCTGGGGAAAGCAACGCAGAGATGCGTTGAATCCAAAACCGAAAAACTTTAAACAGGGTGCTGGCAGACGGTTCTAGTGTTGTTTGGAGTGTAGGCTTTAAACCGAGCCCCATTCGGCAAAACCGAACCTCCAAGAAAAGCATTCCACTTCAACCATGCATGCAATTTCCGAAAAGTAGATAAAAGAACGTGTGCCATGCGAATTCCAACGACGCCTAAGCACGCAAGAGAACCCTTCATCCCGAGTTCGCGAAGTCGGCTGCCCCCTGCCCACTAACCCAACACTTCCTAAACGGGCTCAGACCACTAACCTCCCGACCAAGACGCGGCGAGGGGGAAACCGCCATCGTCGAAAACCAGGAACCAATCGAAGCGGCTCGACTCGTTACCTGAATCAAGGGCAGGTGCCCTTCGTCTCTGAAACTCCCACATCAGAGGAACGCAGACACACATCAAGCCTCGAGTTTCCGGGTTTACCCGACCCCTGAAGCCCAAAGCGGGATGCGCTGGAGGTAGCGCACCAGCCGTCGAGTCCGCAGCCAACGGAAGGCAGTTCCAGCTGGGGTGGGCCTCTTGTGGGTTTCACGTTTTAAAGGGCCTATGGTTCAGGACTTGGTGGGCGTTCGGGACTTTAGGTTTCAGGACTCTTCGGGCTTTCAGGCTGCAGAGTTTAGGCCTCTCTGGGCCTTATATAGGCCTCTAGTACTTTGAATGGCTCAGGAAAATGTCTAGGGATCTGAGCAGCTACATGCCCCCGTCTTTAAAGCAACAACGGAGGACCTGGAAGACCGACCTTTTTTCTAGAGCCTTCCGACAGCCGACTATTACTATCATTATTATCGTTATTATTATTATTACAGTCGGGAAAGCCTCGCCTGAAGCCGACAGGCGGGTCCTCCAGTGCAGAGGCCATATCCTCTGCAGCAATCGGCTTGGTGTTCCTGGGCAGATCTCCAAGGTCACGATGCTGGGCTCTTGTTTGAGGGGGTTTATTTGAGTTGCCATAGTAGGGATCTATAGTTACTATTAAATAGGGCTTCCTGTATTATGGTAACTTAATTTAAATCTGTGAACAAGAACCCAGGATGATAATTTTACAATCCCAGACAATTTCTGATCGGCATCACTGGATCTGCGAGCAGTTCAGCAGCGGCTGACAGCAGGATTGTACCCTCACGCCCAGGGTTTAGGGTTGCCCAACTACGAGGCCTAGATAGTGAGAACAGGGTCACGGGGTAGTTGCTACTAAGTGTGAATTGGGGACTGCTTACATCGGAGGTCGGGAATGACATGAATGCTTGGGGGCTCTGATAAAAAGCATGACCTTCCGAAACTCGAAGCCATGAGGCTCATCCCACAAGACATAGCCATCACAGTGCCTGGGCTCAGGAATTCGGGCGCAGGGACTCAGGGGCTGCATTTCAAGGCTGACATTCATATCTATTCAGGCCACTGTAGCTGGCCGCGGGGCGTGGGGCGACATGTTCGGGTCTCGGTTTAGGATCTTCGGGTTTTATGACTGGACGCCAAGTACGTACAACTCTTCTACCCCAAGGCCCCTGCTTTCTAATAGCCCTGCTGCGAGTTTCAGAAGCCAAGGGACGCTCAATTTGACCTAGGTCCTCAACAAATAGAGTCCAAAGCATAAAAAAACCCTGTGCTTAGAAAACCCTTCAACCACCCTACGACAACTTAAACGTCCTATAAAGACATCTCGTTCTTAGTGTAATTTTAGACGTAACCCGAACTAAGCTCTCTCCACGACCTGCCGCTTCATTCCCAGGTACCACTGAGCTTCCGAAACCTTGTAAACCCTACCAAACCCTAAGCCCGAAACTCCACACCGGTAAAGCATGATGCCCTAATCCGTACATTGCAAGAGCTCCTAACTTCCTAAACCCTAATAGCCCAAACCTTAAACTTAGACTACAAAAACCCCTGAACCCTAAACCCTAAACCCTAGAACCCTAAAAGCCTAAACCCTAAACCCCAAAGCCTAACCCCCAAACCCTTAAACCCTAAACCCCAAAAGCCGGCCCCAGCCCTGAACCCCCAACCAAAGACACCCTTAAAACCCCAAAGTTTCAGAATACTAATCCCGAAGCCCTCCCCAAAAAGCGCTTCTGACGAATGCAACATTCATAATAATAAGAAGAAGGATAAGAAGAATACTAGTCTTATTGAGAATACTAATCATAAGCATGGCAATACTAATATATATATATATACACACATGTATATGTATATCTATCTATCTATCTATCTATCTATCTATCTGTGTGCATGT